GTTCTGGAGGTCCTGGTGGCTCTCAAGAGGTCCCAGATGAGGTTCTAGGGGATCTCAGGAGGTTCTGGAGGTCCTGGTGGCTCTCAGGAGGTCCTGGATGGGGTTCTAGGGGATCTCAGGAGGTCCTGGTGGACCTCAGAAGGTCCTAGATGGGGTTCTAGGGTATCTCAGGAGGTTCGGGAGGTCCTGGTGGATCTCAGGAGGTCCTAGATGAGGTTCTAGGGGATTTCAGGAGGTCCTGGTGGATCTCAGGAGGTCCTAGATGAGGTTCTAGGGGATCTCAGGAGGTCCTAGATGGGGTTCTAGGGGATCTCAGGAGGTCCTGGAGGTCCTGGTGGATCTCAGGAGGTCCCAGATGGGATTCTAGGGGGTCCTGGAGAAGGTTCTGGAGAAGTTCCTGGATGTTCTGGAGGATCTGTAGAAGGTTCCTGGTGGATCTCAGGAGGTTCTGGAGGTCCTGGTGGCTCTCAGGAGGTCCTAGATGAGGTTCTAGGGGATTTCAGGAGGTCCTGGTGGCTCTCAAGAGGTCCTAGATGGGGTTCTAGGGGATCTCAGGAGGTCCTGGATGGGGTTCTAGGGGATCTCAGGAGGGCCTGGAGGTCCTGGTGGCTCTCAGGAGGTCCTAGATGGGGTTCTAGGGTATCTCAGGAGGTTCGGGAGGGCCTGGTGGATCTCAGGAGGTCCTGGATGGGGTTCTACGGGATCTCAGGAGGGCCTGGAGGTCCTGGTGGCTCTCAGGAGGTCCTAGATAGGGTTCTAGGGTATCTCAGGAGGTCCTGGTGGCTCTCAAGAGGTCCTAGATGGGGTTCTAGGGGATCTCAGGAAGTCCTGATGGATCTCAGGAGGTCCTAGACGGGGTTCTAGGATGTCTCTGAAACTTCTTGAGAGGTTTCTGGGGGTTCTGGAGGTGCTGGAGAAGGTTCCTGGTGGTTCTGGGAGGGTTCTGGGGGTCCTGGTGGCTCTCAGGAGGTCCTAGATAAGGTTCTAGGGGATCTCAGGAGGTCCTGGTGGTTCTCAGGAGGTCCTAGGTGGGGTTCTAGGGGATCTCAGGAGGTCCTGGTGGATCTCAGGAGGTCCTAGATGGGGTTCTAGGATGTCTCTGAAACTTCTTGAGAGGTTTCTGGGGGTTCTGGAGGTGCTGGAGAAGGTTCCTGGTGGGTCTGGGAGGGTTCTGGGGGTCCTGGTGGATCTCAGAAGGTCCTAGATGAGGTTCTAGGAGCTCTTGGTGGGTCTCAGGACGTTCTGGGGGGGTTCTAGGACGTCTCTGAGGGTTCCTGGGGGGGGTCTGGAGGTCCTGGAGAGGTTCTTGAGGGTCCTGA